ACTCCTTGGTGTCCAACGTCTCAGCTGCTGTTCTTGTCCAACGCTGCTCTCTGGTGACACTTCTGGACATTTACTGAAGTCCAAATAAAACAGAGCTGAAGTCAAGACACGAACGACAAATCAACCTCAAGTCTCAACAAGCTTGTCGTTAACTGGTTTATGCTGAGGGGACAGGACTTTAAACTTGTACTGGTCCCAGTCCGAGTGACACTGGTTCTCGTTGGACCTCTGATGTTCTGGACGATGTGCATGGATGTAAATGTGCACTGCAGCCATACAGCTCATGCTGCCTCGACTTCAACTTCCACGTTCTGTTCTTGTGTCTATGGAAAACTTGTCAGACTGGGTATCAAAAGTAGGAATCGAAAATAAAAAAATGGAACGATTCCGGGACAATCGGAATGTTGCCCAACCCGTCACAGTCCATGAATAAGTGTCTTCCTCCGGTTAGGTGCTGAATGTACTCAGCCTGAGAACCTGGACCCTGCGAAGCGTCCGCAGTGTCAGGACCGGCCCGGGGAGCTGTACGAGAACGGCTCCTTCTACATCTTCACCAAAGAACTCATCGTGAATAAGACGTGTCTGCAGGTAATCCTTCAGCCCTGGATCTTTCTCTGATTTCATACCAATCTCTCCTGAAAGTGTCCAAAGTGCCAGGTTCCCTGTTCAGTAGCAGCTTGACGTTTGTTGGACTCCGTCCAGAGCGGTAAGGAAGGCCACATCGAGCCGGAACACAGCGTGGACATCGATTGGTCCGTGGCTGAGCGGAGCGTTCTCAGGTGACACGTTGAACTTGAACTATTTTAGCCACTTTGTTCAGATTAATAGGTTTGTCTTGTTCTCACCTCCAACAGGTGTGGTTACCTTGGTTGAAATTCAAAAACGTTCAAGATAAAAACAAAATGATTCAGTTGAAATATCGTGGAAGGGCCTGAAGCGAGCTGTAAATGTGAGGAAACCCGCCAACGTCCCAGTTGAACCTCGACGGAGGAATGAAGTAAAACCCCTCCAAGCCGGCGTGCAGGACTGGTCAACGGTTACCAGGAGCGTTGAGCTGCACAGGTGGAGGTGGATCACACCAGCTGCTGAAAGCAAAGGTTCACATACGCTGACCATCACAAACACGCAACGTTGGATCGTTTTCCTCAATAAATACAAGACCAAGTAGAATATTTTGTCTCGTTTTGTTTAACTGGGTTCTCTTTAGCTACTTTTAGGACTCGTGTGAAAATCTGATGTTTTAGGTCATTTTTATGCACAAATGCAGAAAATTCTAAAAAGTTCACAAACTTTCTAGCGCCACTGTACATGCATATCCAACTACACACCTCGTAATTTAATATTAAACATGAGTTGTTATCGCAGCGTAATGGACACCATTGTACCCCCCACCCCCACCACCACCACCACCACCACCACCACCACTGCTTGCATGGAAACTATAAAATAATCAGCCACAAGCAGACCGAGTCGTTTTTACACCAAACCAGGCGACAGTAGTGACCCCTGCTGGATCTTCATCACCCAGAAAACAGACCAGTAGGTACTGGAGAAGAACCCAGAGCCACAC